GAGAAAAAAAAAAGAGATAGCCATGTACTATCCCAACTTTCAAAAGAGAAAATAAATGGAGGAGGAGGTATACAAAAGGAATTACTTTTTTTTCCATTTTCCACCCACAAATTCACCATACACATACACATGCACATTTTTGACCAGAAAGTATGTCTTGTATTTCCGTGGATCAATTATTTGACTTTGCAATATATGTGATACAAGTAATGCTCTACTCTTTTCCATACCCTGAACTCCACATAAGCCTTATTAGATGGTAGGAAAAAGAAAAGGCACAATCATATGCCTTTGTGAGGAATCATACACTTTGAGTGATCGAGAGAATCAATAGAGGAGCAAAGCAAAGTTATAATTTTGTGTTACGTGAAAAACTCCAAGTTGTTCTTCATGAAAAGTTAGGGTGACTTGAGTCAAGATTATTCCATTTCTCAATTGCCCAGGATCGCATGGTAGACACTACAAAGATCCACAAGTACAGGTATGACTTTAAATAATTTGTTTGCATGATTATTCGTAGGGAAGACAAAACTCTATTGTATAGTCCATAGCCTTCACTCGGGACGGGCAAAGGTTAAGTGTGGGGGTGTTGTTGACGGTCCTTAAATCATAATATTTGACCATCAATACCTGCATATAATGAAATAAAATATGGTATCCAACTTAGTGGTAAGATTTATTACTAATCATTTCCACTAGTGTTGGTGAAATATGAGTATGCAGGTATTTTGAGGAGAAAACACATCCGTCATGCGACAAAATGCACCTCTACACATTCAGGACACGTTTACGGATTAGAGGCCCCATAAGTCAATAAAAACCATTTAGAATTGGGCCAAACATAGACCAGGTTATTGGGAGCCCATTAAGCAACCTACCGGCCAAAGGAGAGGCCAGGAGGACACTTTTTGGGTTCGGCCGAACCAACCAGTTCGGCCGAACCCGTTCTACGGCCGTTCATCGCCATCTTCCACATGTACGCTCCTGATCACTTCCCAATGGCAGTTGCGGGGCATTTCCGACAATTCCCATCAATATAACCGTCATTTGGAGCCTATATAAGGAGGAGTTCACTCTCATTCACAACACACAACTTTGAGCTGAATTACAAGAGGCTCTATTGTATCTTTTGTACGTTAGAATAAGGTAGAGAGTGAGGGGAAGAACTGGAGTAGTGCCCGGAAGTTTGGGGCTCATCCGACTTCTACCTCGACGAGTGTAGCTTCCTAGGAGGAATTCGGGAGGAGTACCGGAGCTGTCGGTACACTCTGTTCCGGGTTTGGAGAACTTCTTCTATAAAGTAAGCATTCGTGTTCCTTTCTTATGTTATTTAATTACTTTGTCTAAGTAAGATAGATTTCCATCTTTGCGGGTTCATTGTTTAGTATTCGTACTAAGTGCTCTAGTACTAGGACTCAGAATAGAGAAGGAAGTTCCTGTACAAGTATTAGAGTACTAATTAATAACATAGTACTAGGACCTTTGTTTGTTGTGTATTCCATGGATTTGTTAGAGGTAGGCGGCAGGTGGTGACAGCCCTGAATCTCGTCCTAGTAATCATCCACGTTCAGATACATCATAGAGCTATAGCCGGAACCACGCTGGTAGACCAGTAGGGGTCGGTGCCCGAAGCAACAGATAGGAAATTACCTTTGCTTAGCGTAGATAAATAAAACACACAGAAAGTCCTCTCTCTAGCCTGCCTACCATTAGTTGTTGTCCTTGGATAGCCTTTGCCTTAGGTATATTACACACGTTCCCTGAGTTCGATATCCTTTTGGGGTCACCCGAAGGTGAAGTGCTATAGCGGTATTCCGTGCGCTTGCAGATTTATCTGTGGTCGTAAGAAATACCAACACCAGCCGTGCGCTTGCCGCCGCCTGCTGGTCGTGCCTTGCCGTGTCGCACCGCGCCTCGCTTTACCGTGCCGTTTGCCGCCGCTTGCCATGTTTCGTGACCGACCTAGGCCGTCGGTTTTGTGAACCGGCGGTGGACCGCCCACATGGTCCCGGCCCTAGTTCGGCCGAACCCTGGTTGGCCCCTCTGGCCCATGCTTTTCTCCTGGAGTTTGGTGGAAAATCCCTCAGCCCATATGTATGGTGAATGGGCCCATTTGAATGTGTTTCGTTAGTTTTATGGGCCCAAAATTCTATAGGCTTGAATATGAGTTTGATTCTCCTCCTTTATGTGTATTTCATCTCCATTTTTGTGGTTTGTCACCTGTATACAAATATACACTAACGCTCGTGGAAATTGTTCGAAATAAATCCTACCACTATATTGAATGATGAGCACCCTGCAGCGAGCACCCTGATTTTCCCCTCTCTTTCACGGTACCAATCAACAACCAATAATATATATGGCTATATATATATTGATGTGATAAATGGAGCAGCAAAATTAATCAAGACTAGTCAACTGGACAAACGACGATATAAATTCTTAAGCTTACAGAGCTTGGAAAGACTGCAAACTAAACACCACACCTCTCTACCCGTGCACTGGCAAAGCACACGATCAGAAGAAGATGGAGACCTCCTTGGCTCCAGCACGTGCTCAGCAGGGAAAATTTGCCAATCACACACTTGCGCCACTGTCGTTGATAGCGGCAACAATCAGCAGAATATTGACGATGGGAGCGCCATCGTCCCTGCCGGCGGAGGACACGACCTCGACGACGACCAAAACAAATTAAACCCTAACCCTCCCTGTAACCTATTACATGGACATATATGTGTGTGTGCACGCAAGCACCAGGAAAGGACATGGGCTCAAAGGCCCAAAACCTAATTAAACATGGGAGTACCTATACATTTTTCGAAAGATTTTTATGATTATATCACACAGATTTTTAATCTTTGGATTAAAATCCGATAGATATAATAAAAAGCAAAAAGCAATTAAGAAACACCATAATGGACACTAAATTACCGTATTCTTAAGAAAAAGACCAAAACCAATACAAAATTTAAAATTTACATGCGAAGATTCAAATATTACAGTGTAACTTACAAAAGTTACAGTGTAAGTTTCATAAATTACACTGTAACTTACAAGAAAATGCACTGTAAATTTGAGTGAAAAAATCAAGTGAGAGATAAGAAAAAATCTTTCGAGTGAGATATAGCAAAATCGATTAAACATAGACTAATTAAGTTTAGTCCTAATTAACTTGGTAACGATGCCGCAAATCTCCTATGCTGCAATAAATTAAGTAAATAAACATGCTAATGGAAAATTAGCATGATAAGATCGGTACGTGCAATGAACCAACACGTATATACCCCATCAATTTCTTCTCTTCTATGCCCATCTGATCGGTAGCACTCCTTGTCGGTTTCTTCTTCACACAAATTTGCAAAGAACCACCGGCAAAAGATACAGGTGCTTTGTCATTGGATGTTTTACATTTATGGTTTTATGTAGTTATTGGCGGCGTTAATTTGGTATTTAACAACCGTCAACAGGCGCTGACAAGGGGTGGCATTGCAACCGACGGCTACCATCACCAAGGACCGCCGCCACCAACCCCCCACCCGATCTGGTGGTCCCGAGCACCACCACTGCGAGATCTGGAGGTCTTGAGACCCGCCTTTGGTCGTCTTCCCGCTCCACCTCATCTTCGAGCCGTCCGCCGTCTCCGGCCAGTCGGATCAACCAGCGGAGAGCCTGGGGTTGCCAGATCCGGCCGATGGCCTCGGCCTCAGCGTTGTGTTAACGCCAAAATTTGGTAAACCCCGAGGTCATCATCGGCTTAGGATCCGTGTCGGCTACACAGTCATGGAATTAGCCGATGAGAATTATCACTCGCCATCAGTTGGATTCTTAGTGGATTCGGTTAAGAAAATTAATCAATTAAAGGAAGTTTATCCATAAGTGACTTATTTCAAGGAGGATGCATCATGGCAATTTATCTATTAATTACACAGAGTCAGTTAGTTTTCTTTTATTTTTAAGAAAGTGTGTTTAGAGTCCGATCAAGACTTGTATCTTTTACTATATCTTTAGAAAAGTTTATGTCTTGTCTAATAAGGACAAGTATCTACCCATTGATATAAACATGTATACCCGGGTTCCTGTAATTTATCTCTTGATCAATGCAACTTCGCGCATCACCACCCTTTTTATTTACATATTTCTCGACGAGTTCTTGTTTCGAGTTGGGTTGCATCGGTTTCGATCTCCAACGAGGGGTAAGGCTTATTTTGGCTATTTGTATCGGTAGGGCTAGGGTCTTGACACTCTAATCTTGTTGATGTAAACACCTATTTATCCTACATCTTAGTTAATCTAAGTTGATGTCTTAATTTACCTGTATCGACCATATCTTTTCTAAGGTTTTGTTGGTATCAACTAAATTATTTCATCGATTTAGATTAGCTAAGGTGTTCATCACCCTGAAAATCAATTAAAGACTTGATTGTTTAGACTTTATGCTTCTTTTCATATAATGGCTTGATCTAATTAGTCATATTTATATCCACGTTGCACGTTATATATTTGACCTGTAAAATGTTTATTAATCATATCGTTTTCTGCAAATCTGGGCACCAAATGGTATATACAGAAGAGTACTAGCTTAACAAATTGACACTTTCTTTCTCTGACTTTGATCACATTTTGTAGTTATGTGCAAGGAAATGCATGATTAGAGTTTGTCAAAATTAGTCTCCACACGCACGTGCCACCCTTGCATCCGCGAATCTCTTCTCAGCAACTGGGAAGCCTGTCCACTAACGGCACCGAAAAATTGCACGTTGCTCTCTTCTCATCTAAGAGATCGATCGATAGAGCATATTTTGTAAGATGACCAAACAAATCTACCAGATGAGAAGGAGGGGGTGTGAGCTGCCACTCCATGTTGCCTACTTACCGCTTGGAGTTGCCCCTGCCGTTCCCGAATGTCTTTCATCACGTTATTTAAGAAGTTATCGCACGTTATGGACTAATGAAGTAGATCAATCGAACAACAGCTCTTTGAGGCCGTCTATTCAGAAGGATTTGGCTATGTTGCGGTAACAGAAAATTTACTTCTTTAAACCATCTTACAGAAATTGAAACAGATAACACAAATCAGACAAGGTAATCCTCCGCCAACTTTAAGATAACCATCTCAGGAAAATGTCTACAACAGTCCCAACTGTAGCATTTTTTTTTACAGCGATAACAGTTACGGTAACAAACCCACTGGGTAGAGCAAAGCCTCCACAGGAACAAACCCACCCCCCACCAGTGCTTTTGTCATTCCCCACTCTTATGTCAAAGACAAAGATATGTCGATACAGCAGCTTCTAAAATAGCTCCTCTTTGTCACAAAATTCAAAAATCAAATTCGCCGGTAGCCTGCAACAAGATAATGTGTAACATGCATGTCAATTGTTGGAGCACCAAGTAAAGTGCCTACCAAGCATTAGTATGTAGTCAGTCTGACATAATTTTGTTTAGGGCAATGCAAGAAAATAATCAAGCTAACAAACCGACAAAAGGTTGAAACTAATTGAGCAGGAATTATGAATATTGATCATTATGTGAACAGTTAGCTATATGATTCTACAACCAATTCAAGCATCAGATTCTTTCAAATTACAAGGAAAATAGTTTTCATCATGTTGACACAAGCACCAGGGAAGGATAAGTGCAAAAGCAACTACACGGTGTATACAGAGTACATCATGCAAAAAAGACTTCGGAGTTTCATCATGAACATAAAATAAGAGTTCATGCACTATTATCAAAAAGAAAAATATAAGCCTCAGTTTCTTCACCTAAGCTTTGTTTGATGCACTATTTTCAATCCATCTTTTATTACTACAATTATGTGGCAAAATAACTAGAAATTAAATTCATGAGTACAGACAGCAAGGCATGTATCCTATAAAAATAAATAAATAAATATGCTTCCATGAATACCAAATTGTTCCACCATATCAAAGTAGATTAAAAGATCATGTTGACTACCTTGTTGAATAGAACATCTCGGCCATTTAAATGCATGATTCCATCCTTCAAAGTGCATTTCCAGCGGTTCTTTGTCCTTGTCACCTGTATAAACCAGCGAATAGATAAAGCATGACACACTAAATAGAGGAAAACCTAATCGACTTCAATATTATTAAACAAAAGGAAGCATCACTACTTTGTCAAACTGTGCGAGGACAAGGTGCTGTGTGTTAGGCTCATCCTCCCCTTGCTCAAGGTCATCTAACTCATCATCATCATCGTCATCTTCATTAAGCGGAGGCTCATCATCATCGCCTACATCATTTCTCGGTTTTGGTGTTCCAACAGCCGGTGTGGGAGCTCGGTATTCCGCTAAGGAACAAATTAAAACATGTGTAAAATCAGCAACATGGACACTAATCTCTCAAACAAGATCAAATTCCATGGTTTCATGAGAAACTTACACGATTCTCCAGGGGTATTGTAATCCTCAGTTGGAACTCCTTGGAAGTAAAATGGCTGAAATAGACACAGCCCAGTTAGTCGCGAAAATTCAAAAATATAAGAAAAAACCATTGATGAATTCGAAATATACATCATTATAGTCATCCATCCCATCCCGTTGAGGAATCGTTGGAGCAATTATTGTTTCCTTTGTGGAAGATTCTTTTGTTGCTGTTCCTTGCTTGTTCACAATGGAACTCCAAAGTTGTTGTGCGTTGTCCTAAAAAAAGGACCAAAAGGAGAATGAGGATTCCTCACACAAAATGGTAATATTAGAAGCTTGGTTTAAATTATCTAATTAAGCACTTGTTAACAGTATATGGTAAAACAGAACATGAGCAGGATGAGAACTACAGGACAAGAATAAGAATGCATCATGAATTGAAGATATGATAAATTGAATTGCAATTTACTGCATATATTCAATATATCCTCATTTCCATACAGAAAACTTTCATAAATTTTGCTCAAAAGTGTCCAAATATTTACAAAGAAGAGAAACATGAAGTTCAATTATCCTACTAACACAACGAACTCTTGAGTTCAAGCCAGTATTAAGCAAGCTCAAGAATTCATACATAAAGAGTTCTCCAGTGTGCACATAAAGTAAAAAATTCTACTGCGTTGGCTTAGAAAATTACCATTAGATTTCTCAAATTCTTTTAGAAAATTCCATCTGTGGATCCTAATTGCCTCATTGATTCAGTTATCACAAACCTAATACTATACTAGCTAACTACTCGGTTACAAAGTATGATTTTCTTAGTCTGGGAAGTACTTCCAAAAACCAATACACCATCACCACTTAAATACATCAAGCTACCTATCACCCAGTGAAATGTTCAGTAAAATTAGTCCAAGTAATTTCATTTCTACCAGGACAATTCTTCACACAAATGCTACCATATACGATTAGCACTGCTCATGTATAATGCTAGTATATCTCCATTACAGCAGGCCACCACACAAGATATACACTAGTGGTGATCATAAGCAGTTAACCCAAGTATGAAAACCAGCATCAGTCCATTTTCAGCTGGGGATAAGCTGATGCATGTATGATTTTCATACAACCTCAATTATTGCTGGGTTAAACGGTTTGCCTAAAACATTTTTTCTTTAACATGCCATGACATGCCCTGCCAGTTTTAACCACATATGGACGGAAGCACATGCATGGAAAATGATAGTTCTTAGGTTCAGGAACAAAAAATGAATCGATCAATATTTATGTGCTGTGATACTTGTACGCGCTTCACTGAGTGAACATTTCCAATACTGTTTTCAGTTCAATTTCCTATTCTCGTGGTGAGTTTGGTATCAGGTTGTATTGGTTATCTATCATGGCAATTAAAAGATGACATGGAACAGTACAACTCAACAGAACAAGAAAAGGAACAAAAAAATTGTGATATTTCATAATAAGGAAATTATGTGCATTTACGATGGGGATGTTAGTTTAAGATTGAAATATTGTACATGTTCTGTAGCTCAGCAAATAGTTTCTGCTATCCACTATAAAACAAGTATGTTGGTATGCTTTTGCTACAGACTGTTTAAAACATATGTGGATGTTATTCATGTAATACAGCCAACATTATATATATGCATGCCATAGAGTACAACATATCATTCATATAAAGGTTTAGACAGTTTAAACTAGTCAATCAATACATCTACTTAGATGACAAATATACTCCAATATAGTATATCAACGTGATAGGACAGACAAAAATGCAAGTACAACAAAAGAAACTGAGAGCCCTCGCATGTGTTGGAGCTGTATTATATAAACCAATATGAAAAGCATGCATCCCTCCTAACCATTAATTTATACATCAATTATCCTCATTTCAATTAGAATTTCACCACTAATTATACTTCCTGTTAATTATGCCATACTGCCCAGCCCACAAAACCACCAACCAGACACCCACTGACAGCCTGACGCCACTCAACTCATCTCACCCCTCCCGGTGCACATGCAGCACATCCTACCGTTCCCCCTCATATTTACATCCTACTTGTTATATTTTCTTGGCTACATGGGTTCCACATGCAAACCCACTAGTTACTGTTAGAAATGTGACATGACAGTTAATGAATTTTGGATGTTTAAATTGCCATCCACTCGTGCATATGCAAGGATATCTCTTGGCATTGCAACAATGAAAAATCAACACTCTACAGAGAGTCAGACATTTGGCCATATCAAGAATTCAAAAGACCTTGGTACTAAATAGGCGGTTTGAAACAATTTTATGGACATATAACAGAAGATGAATTCATAAGAGTAGAGAAAGGCTCTATAATCTACCAAACTATATAGCCACGTACATTCTTGACATATACTAGTTGACATATACTTGCATTGCTCCAATTATTGAACCTGACTGGGTTCCATGAACCATCGAAGAGTAAGGATTCAAATCCAAACCCTCCCTTTTCAACAAGGCCTAAGGATCAGATAGGGACCAAATCTATAGTGGCATCCTTAAACAACTCTAAGGAGCACTACCACACATACTTATGAGATTGAAGTGCAAGACAAATTGTGATACTGAATTGCACTTTCCATTAATGAATAATACCTTTGAGACAACAAATTCAACTATCTGATCTGCACTTCCATCTTGTTGTGGCACAAAAGAACCAGAAGGGAGCTGACCAGGATATTCATCCCTCTTGCGTTTCCCAGAGGACATCATTAGAAAATCCTACAATATGAAATAAATCAAATATGAATCCATTCTACTATAGTAGAATCAAGTATTTCAAATAAGCTAATGGTCAAATTAGTGAGAAGCTGACAAGCTGGGAAATTTGAGCTTAATGAAAGCAGCCAATAGCTGCGCAATGCAATGGATTTTGAAGCAATATGATGCAGGTTCTAAACTTCTAAAGGCACAAATATTTCGAAGAAGATACTTCAAAAAAAATCCCACAAACTCCATGCGAGTGGCAGAGGGATGGTAAACTTACCACTGCTGCTTCTTTTGTATTAATAGAGATACAAAAGTAATGTTTCAAAGTTGCAATTGGTGCTTGGTTCTGTACTGGTTAGGTTACTGGACAGGTAGTCTGGCTTAAAAATATACACAAACGCGGTTTCAATGATGGTTCATGAGAAACAGTTTAATTCCTGAAATTACAGCGAAAATACATTAAAAAAATGGGGAACCCTCTTTATTTTAAAATGTCTATCACCACCCTATAAGAGGTGGAAATTGTTCCTTTAATATATTTGATGACTATGTCCCTACTACCCATTCAAAAGGGATGCTTTACTTGCATGGGCAGCGAGTTCATGCATGTAATGGTAACATGCCAAATTAAGAGGGGTCAGAAAGTCAAGGAAAGACTAGCACAAACATATTGATGGCATTTATTGGTCACATAATGTTTAATTGTATCGGTTCTCATTGCTAGAATTGACCATAGTCTAGTCACTACCCAAATAATCCATCAGAAGTATATGGTAATAAACCAAAGATCCAAGTAAACCCATCAGAAGGATATGGTAATATAAACCAAAGATCCAAGTAATAATCTTTCTAGAATTTGGTTACCATATAAAACATATTAGCGAGTGACAACTCCAATTTCGAACACTGGATGACTGGAATGCCACTAAATATTAATCCAAGTACTTACTACATATTAGTTATTAGTAAGTTGCACTTTGTGTGCAATTGCAATTTGATTAATTCTCACAGGGCATTTCTTACCAAAAATAACAAAAACAAATGCTAACAGCAAACAAACTTCAGTTTCAACATAACATGGACATTTTTACCTTAGTTAGTTGCGGAGGCTGTCCGGTCCTATCTGGGTCCTCACGGTTCTCCACATAAGCTGCACATGAATCAAAGTTGGCAAAATCATTACTCCTACCCAGTCAATATTTCTCCAATCAGTCTAACTGCGATCGAATATTGAGACCTGAGAACAAAAACTGAGCATAACATAAGCACATACCGACATTCACATCAACGCCCAGCGGCCTCTGAGTCATCCAGGGAGAGGGTGGAGGCTGCAACATAACAATAATAAATTCCAAGCCAAAGGGGGAACAACATAAATAAATCAACAAAAGAACCAAATTGATTCTACCATGTAGGGACTCGGGCGACCAGTCTTTGGATCAGCTCCATTCATGGCCATGCCATTCCTCACGTCACTGATCGGGGAAGGGGCATAGTCTGAAGGCCCAGTGGGAATGTTGTACATCCCTGCATCTGTTCCTGGAAGAGGGGTCTGGATCGGGGTTTGTAGCGGCGTCTGCATCCAAATACAGCCGCATCAATACCCTACCTGTCAATCACTCAATTCGCAGAGATCGAGACCAATCTGAAAGAGGGGGGCGGGGGGGGGGGGCGGGGGGCGGGGGCGGTTGAGGGATTCCTCACCGGGGGGAACAGCATGTCCGCTGTGGGGGTGGCGTACTCCTCCGAGGTGGCCTCGTAGGGCACGTTTAGGTCGTGTACCGGCGGGGTGGTTCCAGCGCCGGGGGTGCCTGCGGACGGCGCGGGAGCCGCCTTGGAGCGGTCGATGGTCCCGGAGATTGCGCCGCAGTGCAGCATCTTCATCTCCCAGAGCTAGGGTTTTCCGGGGCCCGAATCGGAGAACCAACCGTCAAATCGAGCCAACCAAGCAGCAATTCGAGACACAACTAGGGCCGGAAACCCGAGGAATCGGCGATGCTTACCGCCTGGAGCTCGTTGAGGACAGCGTCGCCGACGCCGTACGAGATGAAGTCGTCGCGGACCTTGGAGATGACGTCGTCGATGACGGAGATATAGACCGTGGAGACGTTGCTGCTGGCCATGGCGGCGGCAGCGGCAGCGGCAGCGGCGGCTAGGATTAGGGTTTGGGTGCGGGGAACGAGGAGGCGAAAGGGTGGAGGCGGGCAGGACGGCGGCGAGTTGGGGAAGAAGAGGGGGGGAAGAGGAGGAGGGAGGCGGACGAGAGAGATGGGGAATTAAGGAGAGAATATAAATAGGTTTGCATCCGGTGGCGTCACGTGGCCGGGGTATTTGTAGCCCGTCCCCCGACCACTGACTCCGCCACTACCACCGGCACCGCCTAGGAGAATTTCCTCCAAAGGACCCCTGCTCTTGCTCGGTTTTGCCTAGAAGGCTGGAAGCTCCCGATTAATGCGTTGTCTTGCCAGAAATTATGTGTGGTTGGTCCTTCCCAAAGTATGAATTTCTTTACTTTGTCATATTTCAGTTGCTGTGCTTCTGCATCTGAACCCTTTTTCTTGCTAGTTTTGTAAATCTGCCCCTTAGATCCGGATTAGGATTATTTAGGAGGTGTTCTTCTTAGCTTTTGTTTGGCAAGCAATAAAAATGTTCCAATCGAAGGATGTGTTAGGAAATTGGAGACCCAGAAAGGCCCGGCCCAGTTACCCGATAAATAGGCTCATCACTAAATATGCAAAGCACTCATGGCTATGTCTATGTATAGAGGGGAGGAGGAGCTATTATACACACTAGGGAGAATGAAGGAATGAATAAGAAGATTCCTACCCCTATGGAGTGAAGGAATGAATGAAAAGAGTCCGTGGCGGCTATAGGTATGAATCGTTGGGTGGTCTTACTTGGCGTCCCAAATTGTCACGATATTACAAAATCAAGTCAAATATGTCAAATACAGTGGAAATATAATTCAAATATTGCAATATAGCTCAGAACATCGCAAATTGAATAAAACCAACATTTAAGTTCGAAGTTACGAAAGTTACAACATAAATAATTCAAATATCTTACAATAGATAGAAGATTATAATACACTATTTCGGGTCTGTTCACTTTGATGCCATTTTCAACCTTACCAAATTTTGGTAAAGTTGCCAAAAAAGTGGCTACATTTAGTTTGTTGCTAAATTTTGGTAATTATATAGGCCCTTCTTTTCTACTCTCCGAGTCTTCATAGACATGAAATTCTTTATAATGTCTTCTTCGCTAACTTGAGAGAAGATATCCCGCTCAATAAATATGATTAAACAATTATTTAATAATTTGTCACACATACTATTTCTCAGCTTGCTCTTCACTACACTCAATGCAGAAAATACCCTATCAACACTTGCGGTTGCTACAGGTAATATCAATACCAACTTAAGAAGTAAATAGACCCAATCATAGAGAACATGCTTGTTTGTTTCAACAAGTTTAATAAAGAGCTCAGCAAGAGTTTCTAGGCCTTTGAACCTTTCATCTTTTCCCATATTATCAATAAAAGTCCCAAGTTGCAATTCAAGTCTGATCAAATCCATGGGTGAAAAGTCTTTTGGATAAAACTTGGCAAGCTTAAGTACTTATTATGCATCATAAGAGGCAAATGAATTGAATGGATTCAATGCTGACATACAAATGAGCAATTCCATATTAACCTCATCAAACCTACTATTGAGCTCTTGGCTAATTTTGTCAATCACACCAATGTACACTTCTCTTCTAAAATGATCATCATTTGTTTGGTCCGGATAAAACCGTGGAGGTCTTCCATGTGGCACATATTTTTCATCTAAGGTTGGAACTTGGATACTATGTTTATTGCAAAGTGAAACAACAGTTCTTTGAAAAAATTCTTCCCATCCTTCAGATCTTAATTTTTGTATTCTTTCCTTGGCCAAAGTTACAAGTGACATTGCATTAATAGTATCTTGGTCTCTCTTTTGCAAACACAAACACAACTCATTTTTATATCCAAGAATGACAAGCATCAAATGTGCACTGAAAACAAAATCAAATGATTCAAAAGCTCCAACCATAGCATGTATTCTTGGCCAATCCTCTCTTTGTGTGGGATCTTTTCCAAGAGTTATGAGCTCATGAATTGTGGGGTACATACCAATAAATATGCAATATTGTTTTGTAATGAGAACCTCATCTAGTATCACCTGGCCTAGCCAATCCCATATCTTGATTTAATCCAATCCCACTTTCTATTTCACCCAATTCAAGTGCTTCCATAATCTTTTGAGCTCTAACATCTCTAAGCATGTCATGACGCTTACAAGAAGTACCAACAATATTCAGCAAGTGAGAAACTTGAGTAAAAAACCATACACAATCATCATTTCCCTTGGCAATGGAAAGAAGAACTAGTTGGAGTTGATGTGTAAAACAATGGATGTAATAAGCAGGAGACTCTTTCATGATCAATGTTTTCAGCCCATTAATCTTCTCTTTCATGTTACTAGCCCCATCATATCCTTGACCACAAATTTGAGAAGGAGTCAAGTGATGATCACTAAGCAAAGTTAGAATTGCCTTCTTAAGTGTAGCAGAAGTGGTACTAGCTACATGGACTACTCCAAGGAACCGTTGACATACCCTTCCAAGTTTGTCAATATACCGCACACAAAGAGCAAGTTGTTCCTTATGTGAAAGGTCACTACACTCATCAGCAAGAATTGCATAATGATCATCACCAAGTTCTTCAATGATGTGCTTAGTAGTCTCATCAGCACAACAATGGATAATTTCCCTTTGTATATTTTGAACAAGTCAAGATGCAATTTCCAGGAGCATTTTTCAACACCAACCGATCAACTTCTTTATTATTTTCAGCAAGCCATTTCAAAAGTTCAATAAAATTCCCTTTGTTACTAGATTCTTCACTTTCATCATGTCCACGAAATGCCAATCCTTGATTTAAAAGATATCTCAAACATCTAAGTGAATCAGTCAACCTAGCCTTATACTAAATTTCACTCTCATTTGACACCTTCACAATGACATTATCTATTGAAAGACCACCACTTACAAATAGATTGTATTTCTCTTGAGCTTTATTGTGAGCACTTGTTATACCCCCCACATGTTTGTCAAGTGTATCGGCTTTGTTCCAATTTCTCCAACCATCCTTAACAAAATTACTAGTTCCACTACCAAACAAGTAACATACTATACAAAACCCAGCATCCTTTGTGACATTATATTCAAGCCATTGTTACTTATGAAACCAAACAAAACTGAAGTGGCATTTCTTACCATAAATTTCCCTGACTGGGAAATCATGTGGATAACATTGGTTAGGACCTTTCAGAATATATGCACGCCGAACTGCATCTTGTTCATTAACATCATAGCTCGTAATAGGGGACCTCAGTCCTGGATCATATTGAAGATGATCAGCATTGTTGTCGAAACGACAACCGCATACGTCGAAAGACGTGGTCACTCAACAGTGGTTGGAAAAGAAGTAAAGTGTATTAATTTGAAAATTTTTCTTAGGATCCCCCTATTACATGGCCCTATGGGGGCTATTTATAGCCCCCATTACAGGTCTTACTACTATGGTTTTGGTTATACAGGGGAATTTACATGGTTGCCCTTATGAAAGGGACATTTACATGGGTACATAGCGTAATTGCGGTCCATGGGCCCTTAACGGGCCGTCGGGCAATTGTCGACCCAATTGACCCCTGGGCTTGATGGGCCAAGATAGCTTCTTCGGTCCTCCTGGGGGCCGAACCTGCTACGGCGAAGTCGTCCCCCTCCGGCATATGCTCTTCGCCTTGCGCCCTTCACCCAGGAGGCCTCTAGCTTGGCTGCGATTCCCTGCCTCTCGCCGTCCTTGCTTCATAGTCTTTGCCATGGGGGGGGGGGGTTTCGCCCTGACTAATCTTGACGTCTCGGGCTTGAATCCCCGCCGGTCGCATACTTTCGGCAGGTTTGGTTGAAGGGCCTCATGCCATATCGCCAACAAGCCCCTCACGGGCAAGGGTGAGATAGGAGCTTCGGCCGAGACCGTACAAACCATGTGGTATGGTATGTGGCACCCCCTTTCAACCGGTGCTCCTACCGAAACCTATATCGGTCCTGCAAGTAAAGTTTGTTTGTTTTTACGCTTAGAAAAAATTTCTTTGAGAAAAATCTCCTCTTCGCATTCATTGCAAAGCGTCGAGGGGGGGTTATTTAGTCTCTTTTATTACTATGAATAGTAACAGGCCCTGTGGACTTTTCCTTCTCCGTAATCGGGCCTTTTACTGTTCGGCACCGACCCAATGGGAATTTACCGTTTCGTCTGCCCTTTGACACGTGTCAGAGCTCGATTGGTTGGCAGGCGAATGGTCTCGCTACGGGGTTATATATACCCCCAAGCCGGCCTGGTATTTTTCACTCCCCCCCCCCCCGCATTCTCCCCTTTTTACCGCTTGACACGCTCCGTGCTCTCTTTGCTCTCCTGTTCTTTTAACTTTTCACCATCGTCGTGCTCCTAGCCTTTCGGCTTTTTCCTTCGCCACCGTCATGCTCGTAGCCTTTCGGCTTTTTCCCTCCCTTTCCTGTGCTACGAGCCCAATGGCTCCCCGCAAGCCTACCAAGGCCGGGTCAACTGGTGAAGATCCTGGAAGCCTTGGCGAAGGATGGTTGTGCTTCCTCGGCAAATCACTTGTCAAAGAGGCCGACTTGGGCGAACTGGTATCATCCGGTTCTCTCACAGAGGGCCAAGGATCGTGCAGGGGCGAGGCTGTTGTTCCCTCGCCTAGGGATGGGCGAACAGTTGTCTTCGCCGCATACTTCACCACTGGGCTTCGCTTCCCATGCGACAACTTACTGCCTTCGGTGCTCTCGATGTATGAGGTTAGGCTTCCCCAGCTTAGCCCGTCAGCATTCCCGAACCTGGCGGTTTTCGCTTGGATGTGCCGGACCTGTGGGTTCGCCCCTACCGCCGAGCTATTTGCCACTCTGTTTACTGCATGCGCCTCGACCAAAGACGTGCAGACGCCGGCGGGTCCGAGGAAAACCGTTTTCGGCTGCATGAACTTCATGCTGCGGCCAGAGCGTTCAGATGCTTGGCTAGTGCCTGCATCGATGGCGAAGTGGGACAGGAACTGGATGAAGAAGTGGTTCTATATCAGCAACCCCTACTCCGCCGAAGATGCCCAGGCGAACTGGCTCCTTTTTGAGCGTTCTGCTGTCTCCATCAACGCGAAGCCAAACGTGGAGATCAACGGGACTCTCGAGTCCCGGCTCATTCTCCTTCGCAAGGTTGCCTGACGGCTAAGCACCCGGGATCTTTGCGAGGAGTTTTGTCT